TTGTAGTAACTACTGCCCTAAAACTACAATTACAGGACCTCAGAAAAAAACAGTCCCCAGAGGACCCTTGTGACCAACACAAAACCATGTAAGAAAGCAAAGGTCACAGCCCAGCATGTACCAGGGGTCCTCAAACTTTTTAAACAGGGGGCCAGTTCACTGTCCCTCAGCCCTTTGGAGAGCCGGACTGTGGGCTCCAGGTTGAGTTGGCTGCTAAGCAGGACAGGCAGTGGTGGCAAAAACACCCAGCAGACCTGATAAATGTCCTAGGCGGGCCGCATATAGCCCGCGGGCCATAGTTTGAGGATGCCTGGTAGGCGGTAGTCCTTCCAGGACCTGCTGGTCGCACAGTGTACCCAACATCAAGGATGCCTTGGGTTACACAAGAACACATTCTCAGATCCCAGCCTGAGGATCACAGAGTGGGTAGCCAGCCTGGGCTCGCTGGGAGTCCTCATTTTCTCAGATTAGAAAGTGAAGTGTTGGAGAGATCTAGCACTCGTCCTATTTGATTTGGTCCCATGAGGCAGGGCTGCTGTTGTCACAGCAGAACTAAACGCCGGCAAAGCGTCTGCAACTTCTCTATCTCTGGAGTCTGCAGGACCCAGCGCTGTCACCCTCCCAGATAAAAGTCAAGCCCCTAACTTGATCAATTAGAGCAGAGTGAGTGCTCTGGGTAGTGGGTAAATTGAAATCTTGCCTGGTACGTATCCCAACTGGGGAAACTGACATCTAGTTAGTGCCTAGGCAATTACTGAGGGAAAAATTAAATTAGAACCGAGACATCTCTAAATATGTGTAAAGCGCAGGTAAAAACACAAAATAAAACTGATGTACAAAGGATACTGCATCCCAATTCTCCCATATGCTGTTGATTTTAATGCAAGGAAGAACAGGTTCATCTTATCCTGCTTGGCTCACAACGCCTCAAATGTTTTTCTTATACTGACATAATCTTACATAAAACACACAAACTGGAAATAATTTGTTCTCATCATCAACCTAAAAAAGAATAATAGGTCATTTTTCCCCTAGTTGCCTCAGCTAAGAAGTTTATTTCTTGCTGCCATTTCTGTGTCACACCAAAAACTTAAGAAGGGTCTAGTATTCCCATCCTGGTTCATAAACACAGAAAGTGAGTCACCAGCATCAGTATCTCACAAGTAATGATGACTGCCCAACTCTCCTTACGAGTAAAATTGAACCTCATCATTCATTCTACACTGCCCGAGAGGCACAGATGGGCCAGCCACTGGACCTATGCTCACCCGCACAACACCTGTGTAAATTAAAAGACATGTAAATCTCTAACGAACATGAGTAGCTTCATAGAGATGACAGATGTCATGTGGGCAGTTTCATTCTCAGAAGCAAAACAGATATATCTGCTGATGATCCTGAATGTATATTCATTTTTATTTCCGAACTAACAGAGGAGTTCCTTAAGATTATATCGGCAAAGGGCCACAGTCCAAAAATTAAAGTATACAAGAGGCAACATAAAAATGGCCTGTAGTATAACAGTTGCATGCTCATGACACACACACACACAAGCACAAATACACACACGTCAACAGGCTCCAAGCCTGAAATAAATATTTAGGGAAGCAGTGTGATGTGGTCTGAAAAGAAAGTCCTTGGAAGTCAGATCTGTGTTTAAATTTTGCCTTTTGCCCAAGCTCTATGCTTTGGGTACATTTTCTGTAAAATGGAAATAGTCATAATCACATCATTGGGTTGTCATGAAGACCTATAGAATATACAGTAGGACTTAGCACAGTGTCCACTGCGTAGAAGACAATAAACATCAACCCCTTCCCTCCTCTATGTGTTTCTAAATTGTTTTTTAATTTTACTGACTTAAATGGGAATTGTTACAGCAGTTTTTAAAAAAGCAGTTCCTACACATTATATAGTCATTTACACATATGTATCTGTTGCAGCACCATAATTTGCAAAGAAAAAGGAAGTAGTAATTTTAAGAGAAAAGTACCAGCTCACTTGCACTGCCTTTTAAAACCTTCAGCTTTATAGTCGATAGAGACTATTTTCTCTTAGGGTGCAGATTCTGAAATAAAGGAAAAATTCTCATGGGAAAAATAGTCCCCCCCCACCCCCGAAAAAGCCAACAAAGAAAAGATAATGAGGGGAAATCTAGGCGTCTTGAAAAGCATTGATTTCACTTAACAAAGTAAAAGTCAAGCAAAATGAATAATCTGCCTCCAGAAATGGTTATTTAAAGGTTTTTTTGTAAAGGGCTCTGGTTCCTAAAAAGACAGGAGTCAGTGCATATGCCCACCCACTCCTCATTTATTTTTAAACCCTAGCTTATATGTTCCTTAGCAACAGAAGGAGCAGATGAGACCCCCCTACACACAGACACACACACATACACATACAGACACCCTCTCTCCCAAAGCCCCCTTCTTCTTTACTGTCAGGTTTCGTTCCAAAAATATTCATGTACTTCAAAAGATATTTTTTACCTATCTGCAAATCTCTTCTCTACCTCAAATGATCCCCCTTATACAAGTACCATACCCCATACTCTAACTGAACTCTTTGGCTTAGACTGTTCTGTGAGGCCTCCCTGACTCCTCCCCATTACGTCTCACGGGCACCCGTCCTCAGGTGCCCCCAGAAATGAGATGGTGTAGTCTTGACTGAGGATCCAACACCTGGCTCCAACCAAAGCTTCTCTTTCTTTAGAGACCTTTCAATAACCCCACCCTGTCCCCAGCAAAATGGTCAGGCCTGGGTGCATTTTAGTCAAGCACAAACGGCCACCATGCCAGTGAGCAGGCCATTCACCAAGTAACAAGTATGAAGGATCGAAATGGAGACAGTCTCTAGGCTACCCAGGACAACCACGTGCCAGAAGGAATCACCTACTTTTTCACTGTCTTCATTTTCTGACTTTGGGGCTACTTGGCCTTGTTTGGTTGGGCAGCATTTACAAGTTCAAAGATCAATTGTTTAGTCTCTGGGGGAAAAAAGAGGGCAGCAACCCTCAGATATTAGTGTACTTAAGCATCGCCTTGAGGAACCTGGTAAAAATTTCCACCCACAGAGACTTTGATTCTCTAAGTCTAGGGTGGTGAGCACATTTAACCAGCCACCTGAAGTGATGCTGTTGCAGGTGGTTCATTGATTTGGAGACTGTAAAGCTTTATTCAGAAGGAAATGATGTTGACAAAGTAGAATCCACCTCTATGGATTTTAAGGCAGATGCAATATTATTATTCCTTTATAGAAAAAAAAATGCTGTGTTTGTGTCCACGTCTATGTCTCTGTGTGTACACACTTACAAGTGCATGAGCAAACATGCAACCCAGAAAGCCACAGGCCCACACAGTGCACATTTCGAGGAGGAAGGCTCGGAGAATGACCCCTGCCAAGAGGCAAGCTGAAATGATTTTCCTTGCAAACTCTGGCTTTGTAGCCTTGCCCAATGAGGAGTCTGATGAATACCAATGAGACAAGAGCAGCCCACACTGTGCTCCATGTAATCACCACCCCCTTCCCAACTCACAGCTCCTAAATTAGGCTGAATGCAATCTCTGTCCCCTAAGGGCCAGACAGGCCATCACAACGAGGAAGTAGAACTAACTGTGTCCTAGCATACCTCCCTAGAGCCACCCCACTCCCCACTACCTGGCTATTTTTAGAAAGCAAAAGTATAAAAAGAAAGATCCATTTGGAGCTGATCTGCGTGAGTAACTAAGAGAACAACTCAGGTGGGGAACTCCCTCTGCCCACAGTGAACAAAATGCATGCCAGGAACACAGAAGCCACCGCCACCACTTGAACACAAAGCACATGCCCGGCAGACTGGACCTCCAGGCCAGGCAATGCCTGTGGGGATCCCAGTGACTCACACACCTGCCCCCATACATAAAACACGCCCTCCCAAACTCACACACCTCTGTCATCTGCTTCTGCTTACATAACAGCACATGGGGTGACAGGCTTAATACTTTATATGGTTTTCGGGAAGGGAAATCAACCCCAAAGGAGTAGGGTTACAAGAATGCTTTTACAGACCCCTCTTTCAGAAACACTCGGAGCTTCAGCAAGTGCAAATCTTTGTCAATCTATGCCTGCTTATCACCTCTACTTTTAAAATCAACAAGCAGTAAGGATAGTCTCAGCAACTCCTCAGAACTGGGGATGGAGGATGGGAGGGAACCTACTGAAGCTTCGTTTCTCATTGTTGGATTCTGACATAAGTTGGGTTTATCTTTTAATTTGGTGGCCATTTATCCCACACTGTCCTTGTCTCCTAAATAATCCATCCTTAGGTGCACGTATGGTCCCCACTCTCACCTTTACCCCTGCCTGCAAGCGGGCTCCCCACGTCGTCCTCCTGGGCACACCCAGGAGAAAGGGAAGGGGCACGTGTACATGTAACCCCCACAACCAGTGGCGTATCTACAGACAGAAGCCCACATCCCATTCTTCCCTCATGGAGGATTTCGAGACAGGTTCAACTTCCGTAAGAATTTCTTTTGAGCACAGGGCTGTTCTGTTCTGCCTGTCGGAGTGATCTCAGCTATCAAGTTAGTGCCAAAGGTTTATCGAGTGAAATCTGGAAGGTAGGGGGAGTGGTGGAAGATGACACCAGCTCCAGGCCAACTTTGATGACTTCTCTCAAGAAAACTAGGTATCTCTGTGTCTGCACCTCTCTCTCTCTCTCTCTCTCTCTCTCTCTCTCACACACACACACACACACACACACGCATTTGTGCTGCTGTTCCGACCTCAGGGAACCAGCCTCTCTCTCCTGTTACAGAAGAAACCAGGCGCAAGTCGCTTTCTCCAGCCTAGAATGACAGGATGAAGAGAGAACACATACCCTCAGTAGGAAGAGGGAGGGGAGAGTGATCAAGAAAGACAGAACGGCGCCCCCAACTCCGAGAAAGCGCTCCCGGAGAGGGCGGAGCGGGTCTCCCGCCTTCGGCGGCACCTGTCTCCCGGCTGCCCCGGCTCCCCGCGCCTACCTGTAAGAGACTTGCTTCCGGAAAGTTAAGTTCCTCAGTTTCTCCTCCAGCGCCTCGTCCTTCTCCTTCTGGCCGGCGGCCCCGGGCTCTTCCAGGGCAGCGGCTCCCGCTGCCGCCGCTGCCCCTGCGCCCCACGGGTCCGCGCCGCCCTCCGCGCCCAGGCAGCAGCTCCCGGCGCCGCTTCCGCTGCTGCTGCTGCCGCCCGTCGCCCCCTTCTCCTCTCCCGCCGAGGAGCTGGGGTTCATGGCGACCGCTCCGGCGGCCGCGTAGGGAGCCGAGGCGGCGCCGCTGCAGAGGCCGGGCCGGCTGACGGCGCTGGCGGCGGCGGCGACTGCAGAAGCGCGGGCAGGTCCGCGCGCCGCTGGCAGGGGCAGCAAATGGCAGCCCCTTCCCGCAGCATCCATCCGCGGCTGCACCGCACCGGGGCATTGTGGGAAACTCCGTGCCTCCACTCCCCCTCCCCGACCAATCAGAGGCCACCCCTCTCTGCCTCCCCCACTCCCTCCTCCCTGCCAGCCCGCGCCCTCCGGCCCCACTGGCCTTTTCCTAAATCGGGAGCAAAAGGCAAGGTTGAATCTGAACTCTGCCCAAAGAGGATGGGTTGCGGGGAGGAGGAGAGGGAGGGAGTGAGGAGCCCTGGGGCCGGGAACTCTGAGGCACGAACATCCAGCATCAAGAAAGGACGGCGAGCAGCGTGCCGCGCCCTGGTTAACACCCAAGGAGACCGGGACCAGGACAGGCGAAGTGCCCGGCACTGGCAGTCGCCCTGTTAGCGGTGGATCCCGGTTGGCCCTAATCCCCAGATGCCTAATGCTGGTTCAAGGTTCTCTCCAGCGCCCTTCGCCGGCGTGCCGAGCTGCAATCAGACCAAGCCGCTGGACGCGGGAAACCTTGGGGTGTAGCAGGAGGGTGGTCGGTGGGAATCTTGGAGCGAATCAGTGCGCAGTGTAAATTAAACTGGGTGGGTGTCAAGTTTAAGTACCTACCTCCTCTCTCAGGGCGAGGCTGGGACCCCTTTTTCCCTGAATATAGCCATCCAGCTCCTCACCCGGAGCCTTTCTCACATGTAGCAAGCGCTCGCCAAACAGCTGTTAATTCAGTTGAATTGGATCACAGGGCCCTCAGTGAAGCAGAAAGCCGAAGGAATTCAGGGGCGAAAGTGAGGACTGGCGCTCTGAGCACCGCTGTCTGATTCCCGCGGATCAGAGGGGCTCGCAGAGGAGGACTTAATCCCTTCGGGTCCCACTACTGAGGCCAGCCCGAGCTTGCTGTCTCTGCAGAATTTGTCCTCCTCCCGTTTTATTTCTGAGATTATTTTAAAAACTGCACAGTTTGAATGATGTGCTACAAAGTATTTAAGACAGATCGTTTTTCAAATTAGCGGTTTCCACCCAAGAAATCTCTGCTGTCAGCAAACATAAGAAAGAGCTATACTTAAGAGTAGGTGATTTTCGTAGCCAAGCAGCTACGTGCCCGTGGTGGCGAGAGGACCAGAACAGAGAACGGTTTCAGGTTTCCACAGACAAGTTATTCGATTCCTTTCCTGTTATTTTCTCGACTAAAATTAAGAGATTTAACAAGGTAACTCAAACCTCTTCCAACACCAAGTTCTGGAACATAGGATGGGTATTATATATAATGAGACGAAGGTAAACACATTACCCTAGTAGAGTAAGGAAAAGTAATAATAAATAAAAATAAGAACAGCCCCTGATATTAAGCCCTCGTTTACCTGTCGGTGCTGCACAGAGGACGTCCCACACCCGCCTCTACTTTGTCACAGCTCCCCTCAAGGGCTCAGGAAGGAGCAACTAGAAACCTGCCAAGCCAAGAACTACACCCAGGCTGCCTGGCGGGAGGTCCCGCGCTTCACCCTGGCACAGAAAACTCCTCCATCTTCAGAAGCAACACCTTGTGTTAGGTGATTCCAAGGCAAGATCCACTAATACGTTGTAGATCCCTAAGACCAAGCAAATGCCATCTTAACTTAACTGAAACTCAAACAGCTTCCTCACTTCCTCCCAGCCATATTTCCCCCATCCAATCTCTAGTATGAGCCCCCAGATACTTCTCTCTCTTCTTTCTTAGTTTTACGCCTCTGCTTAATAATCTCCTGATTATGTCATAACTCTTCATATCGCCATTAGGGTAAAGTTCAAACGACTCCTTAACTGACTTTTTTGGCGGCCACATTAGTGGATGGTGGTGTCAGCCCCACGGCCCCTCACACGTCGTGTTAGTGCATCTCTGAACTGTCCCGAGTGCACGTCCCACGTGTTCTCAGCTTTTTCAGTCGCATCTTTGCACGTGTTGGGCTGCTGTCCCCTATTCCTTGCTTCTCCCATCTCTAATTCTTGCCCTGCTAACTACTACACCCCCTGCAGATTTTAGTTTACACGCTGTCCCCACTAGAAGCCTGCATGGATGAGCCCTTTCTAGACCATGATGGATGTACCTCCAATAAGCTAGCATTGCACCACTATACCAAACTGGGAACACTCGTCTATCTCTCCCATGTTGTTTGTCAGGAACAATACATACACATTAGGGCAGTGCCTGTGGCTCAAAGGAGTAGGGCACTGGCCCCATATACCAGAGGTGGTGGGTTCAAACCCAGCCCCGGCCAAAAACTGCAAAAAAAAAAAAAAAAAAACTGAATCAGTAATAATACATACACACTATAATAGCATAGTAAATGTGCATACTGTAGACCATGGTGAAGTGTTTATTGACTGAGAAAAGGACATTTGTGTTTTGAACATATAAGCATATGCTCAAAATCACTTATTGTGGAAGAGTTTCTTTTTTGTTCTTTTTTCCCCCTTTTTTTGCAGTTTTGGGCCGGGGCTGGGTTTGAACCCACCACCTCCAGCATATGGGGCCAGCGCCCTACTCCTTTGAGCTACAGGTGCCACCTGCAGAGTTTCTTTTTTAAACTCTAAAAAAGATGCCATTTTTCAGAATAAATAGTTGACAGTAGATAATACTTATGGTAGGAGAACCAACACTTTCTCACATTGTTGGGGTAGTTTAACTGGTAGAGTCTCTCTGGTGGAAAATTTAGCAAATATTTATGAATTTTGAAAGGGATAGCCTAATTAACCTTGCAATTTCACTTCTAGAAATTTGTCCTCTGATATAGGGTATAGCCCACCCCCAAAAATTTAAGACTGAAAACAGCCTAAATTATTGATTTAGGTGGTTAGTAAATTAACTGCTTAAATTGCTAATTTAAGTCATTCCTAAATTATTATTCATCCAAACAGTGGAATTCTCTGGAACCATTAAGAGAAATAAGGCAAATTAATATATACTAACATAAAACAGTCTCAAACGTATAATGTCAACTAAACAAGCAAGACAATGCTCAGAGTATTTATTACTATGGCATTTTTTATGGATAAAGGAAAATTGATATAGAGATAGTATTTTCAGAAAGATACATAAGAAAATGGTGATACTTAAGCAGAGCTGAGTGACCCTAGCTAGTAAAGTGATAGAATCTTGAGGTTTCTGCCTAACTGAATAAACACATACCAAAAGGGGACAGAATGTCTCCCAGGCTGTCAGGGAGGTGAGTGTCTGCAATGTTTAAGAAGTAGAGTGGTGGGTTGCTAAACAAAGGAGAATGGCTTTAAAGAATAGTCATTGCATATGCATCTATTATGGGGTTGCCCCTTTTGAGAAGTTACTTAAAATACTAGTCATTCTCTTAGGTAATTTATTTTCCTTGTGTTTTTTACTGATCACCAAGTAACCTTGTAATTACTCATTCAGTTTCTTAGTTACCTTTGCACTAAAAAGTGGAATTCTTTTTAGAATTGGAATGGGCAGCCCCCATTGCTCAAGGAGTAGGGCGCTGGCCCCATAGGCTGGCAGTGGTGGGTTCGTAACCCAGCCCTGGTCAAAACTGAAAAAAAAAAAAGTGGAATCCTCGAAAATGGGACAAAAACATCCCAGTCACAGAAAAGGAAATTGATATTCAGATTTAAAAATTCATCTTGTGTAATTTTGAGTCACATAAGCAAGGAAATGAGCATCTCTGGGAATGCTGAAACATCCAGCTTCCGGAACTACAAGTCTAACCCCAACCTCAGCTGTACACCATCTCCATTACCGGCACAAAACCATGCCCCATTAGATGTGCTTCTTAACTCATCTTTCCAATATCTGTTGTTGCTCAGGCTAAAGCAGGTGTCATTATAGTCTTAAATACACAAACTTGAATCTCCTAAATTCTAGGCTGGATAAAAAGGGCTTCAATATGCAGTTTTTAAAGAAAGAAGAAATTTCTTTAAGTCTAGATAAGACTACAAGGTTAAATACAATGCTAACAGAAATTTTCAGGAAATAACACAGAATCATTTTCCTTAAAAAGCAAGAAACAGGCTCAGCGCCCATAGCTCAGTGAGTAGCATGCTGGCCACATACACCAAGGCTGGCCAGTTCGAGCCTGGCCCGGGGCTGCCAAACAACAATGACAACTGCAAACAACAACAAAAAAATAGCCAGGCATTGTGGTGGGTCCCTGTAGTCCCAGCTACTTGGGAGGCTGAGGCAAGAGAATCACTTAAGCCCAAAAGTTTGAGGTTGCTGTGATCTGTGATGTCACGGCACTCTACCAAGTGAGACTCTGTCTCAAAAAAAAAAAGCAAGAAACATATGCATATATTGAAGACTTCAGTTATTTATAGATCACAAGCCCAAAAGTTTGAGGTTGCTGTGATCTGTGATGTCATGGCACTCTACCAGTGAGACTGTCTCAAAAAAAAAAAAAAAGCAAGAAACACATGCATATATTGAAGGCTTCAGTTATTTATAGATCACACAAGGATAATAGAGCTTTTGAAATGTTGTCACTGAAGTTTTTAAAGGAAAAAAGAAAAGGCAGTTTCCATCATATTGTACAGAAATGAGGACTGAGCCTCCTCACCAAGACCGACACCACCCTACTTAGTCTTTCCTGCGCCTCTTTGGTCTCCTCCCTTCCTACTCTGCTCTCCTGATCACCCCTTTCTCATGCTTGCTTAGCTCATTCCTGCCTGCACATAAAGCTCTACCTCAGAGTCAGAGACTCTCAGACTTTCTCACTTCACACCACCCTTGGTTTCTCAGTATCTCCTGGCACCTCTAGGCCAACATTTATGCAGTTTGGGTAGGTAGATGGTAACTACTTAATGAGCATTTATATCTTGACAATGTTAGTAGCTATTTAAAAAATAATAATACCCATACATTGAAAGGAAAAGATAATATTTGTGTTTCCTTTATAGACAGCCACAGTTACTAAGAAGATAGCAGCGGCATCACACAACTTCTGAAACCACCGTGGGATCACATTAGATGCCTCCACACTCACTGCCTGTTCCACCCTGATTTGCAAGTAGTATTAAGCAGCCACTAAAA